TGTAACATCTTGTCTGACCCACAACGGTGATGGTGATGATAATAATAATAATTTTATTATTTATATTCTGCCCACCTGGCTGGGTTTCCCCACCACTCTGGGTGGCTTACAGCATACAGTGGTGCCTCGCAAGACGAAATTAATTCGTTCCGCAAGTTTTTTCTTCTTGCGAGTTTTTCGTCTTGCGAAGCACGGTTTCCCATAGGAATGCATTGAACATCAATCAATGCGTTCCTATGGAAACCGACTTCAGACCAGGTCCGGGGACAGTCTGTCCCCCGACCTCTTCTGAAGGCTGGGGGGGGGACAAGGGCTTTTCTTCCCACCCCAAGCATTTTAAAAAACCCCGGGACAGCGGAGACTTCTCTGCTGTCCCGGGGCGATCTTAAAATGCTGGCGGGCGGCAGCGAAGTCCTGGACCTCTTCTGAAGGCCGGTGGGGGGCAAAAGTCTTTGCTCCCCCCCCCGCCTGCCTTCAAAAGCCGTCCGGGATAGCGGAGAAACGAAGGCTGGCGGCGTGAGGAGGTCTCTCCACCCCGCCGCCAGCCTTCGGAGGAGGTCGGAGGACAGTGGGGAAGACGCGCTGCGCTTCCCCGCTGTCCCGGAGATTTCCCTATGGGCTTTCATCTTGTGAAGGAAGCCCATAGGGAAATTCGTTTTGCGAAGCGCCTCCAAAACGGAAAACCCTTTCGTCTAGCGGGTTTTCTGTCTTGCGAGGCGTTCGTCTTGCGGGGCACCACTGTATATAAAACATAGTAAAACATCAAACATTAGCAACTTCAGATGTCTTCTAGAGGTTTTGTAATTCTTTATCTTCTTGACATCTGACTGGAGGGCGTTCCACAGGGAGGGTGCCACTACCAAGAAGGCCCTCTGCCTAGTTCTCTGTAGCTTCTCTTCTCACAGTGAGGGAACCGCCAGAAGACCCTCGGAGCTGGACCTCAGTGTCCAGGCTGAACGATGGGGGTGGAGACGCTCCTTCAGATGGTTATCATTATTTTTAGTTTCTTACAAGGTATTCTATTGGGGGAAATGTGCTTTGCTTTGAACTATGGTTCTTGGTGCTTTGACTCAATATGAGCAGATACAATTCCTGTTTGTTGGATGTGCTCATAAGCTAACAGGATCCTGGAAGCTGCCCTTGATCAAAGAGGGGGAATGACTGGTTCTCTTTTTACTATGCGACCTGTTATCATTATTTATTTGTTTCTTAATTAATTAATTAATTTTTGCACAACCTTTCACTCAAAGATACCAGGGAGGTTACTTTAGAATCATAGAATCATAGAATCATAGAGTTGGAAGAGACCACAAGGGCCATCGAGTCCAACCCCCTGCCAAGCAGGAAACACCATCAGAGCACTCCTGACATATGGTTGTCAAGCCTCTGCTTAAAGACTTCCAAAGAAGGAGACTCCACCACACTCCTTGGCAGCAAATTCCACTGTCGAACAGCTCTTACCGTCAGGAAGTTCTTCCTAATGTTTAGGTGGAATCTTCTTTCTTGTAGTTTGGATCCATTGCTCCGTGTCCGCTTCTCTGGAGCAGCAGAAAACAACCTTTCTCCCTCCTCTATGTGGCATCCTTTTATATATTTGAACATGGCTATCATATCACCCCTTAACCTCCTCTTCTCCAGGCTAAACATGCCCAGCTCCCTTAGCCGTTCCTCATAAGGCATCGTTTCCAGGCCTTTGACCATTTTGGTTGCCCTCCTCTGGACACGTTCCAGTTTGTCAGTGTCCTTCTTGAACTGTGGTGCCCAGAACTGGACACAGTACTCCAGGTGAGGTCTGACCAGAGCAGAATACAGTGGCACTATTACTTCCCTTGATCTAGATGCTATACTCCTATTGATGCAGCCCAGAATTGCATTTGCTTTTTTAGCTGCCACGTCACACTGTTGGCTCATGTCAAGTTTGTGGTCAACCAAGACTCCTAGATCCTTTTCACATGTACTGCTCTCAAGCCAGGTGTCACCCATCTTGTATTTGTGCCTCTCATTTTTTTTGCCCAAGTGCAATACTTTACATTTCTCCCTGTTAAAATTCATCTTGTTTGTTTTGGCCCAGTTCTCTAATCTGTCAAGGTCGTTTTGAAGTGTGATCCTGTCCTCTGGGGTGTTAGCCACCCCTCCCAGTTTGGTGTCATCTGCAAATTTGATCAGGATGCCCTTGAGTCCATCATCCAAGTCGTTGATAAAGATGTTGAATAAGACTTTCATTTGTTAGTTCTCTGTTTGCCGCGGCAGTGAAAACACGACACACGTAAACGATTTAAAACCACAGAAAAATGGAAGCACTTGACAATACAAGATAAATAAAAGGCTCACCCAGCAATAAATTTTAATAGGCACCAAGCCCCCCCCTACACCTACTGAGAGATGAGCACCACCATTACTTAACCCAAGGTCTGTGAAGGCAGAAAAATCTGTAGGCAAAAAAAACAACTGACTGAGATGTACTGTATCCCAGTATGTCTCTCCGGGAATAGCATCCCATAGACTGGGGAGGGGGAGACCTCTGAAAAGGCCTCTACCCTTCCCTTGGGTGGGACACACAGAGAAGGGCCTCTGATGCACATCAAAGGATCTAGGATGATTCATATGTAAGCTATACTGTTTTGCCATATGAGAGCATCATTGGTCCTGCTAGCAGATACAGAGTTGGTGAGTCTTCTCCATGCTGCTGAGAGGTTGGCTATTAGCTATAACTGGAGAGGGGGAGAGAAGGACCCTTTCTTGGATGCTAAGAACTGGTTTGAGGTACAGATGACAAAAATGACCAGATATTATTGAAGTCAGATAATAATAATAATAGTAATAATTTATTATCTATACCCTGCCAATCTGGCTGGGCTTCCCCAGCCACTCTGGGTGGCTTGCAACAAAATATTAAATATTAAAATACGGTAATTCATCAAACATTAAAAGCTTCCCTAAACAGGGCTACCTTCAGATGTCTTCTAAAAGTCTGGTAGTTGTTTATCTCTTTGACATCTGAAGGAAGGGTGTTCCACAGGGCGGGTACCGCTACCAAGAAGACACTCTGCCTGGTTTTCTGTAACTTGGCTTCTCGCAGTGAGGGAACCACCAGAAGGCCCTTGGGGGTGGAATGCTCCTTCAGATATACTGAACCAAGGCCATTTAGGGCTTGAAAGGTCAGCACCAACACAGATAGGTGGAGAGATAATAGGTTTGTTGGAAACGGGAGCATCTTTGCACTGTACTGGAATCGGAAGGTTCTGGATTCCATTGAAGTACATATGGTATGTGAGGTGAAATTAAGCTATGATGGAACATGAACAAAGTGATTGCTGGAAAGAAACACAACTGTGATTTTCCAGTACATTTCAACTTTGAGGTCAATCCCACCTGCAGGGTAGTCCTTGCAACTTAAATCAGGGGCTGTGGAACCTATGGCGTTCCCGATATCATTGTACTGCAACTCCCAGCATGGCCAATGGTCAGGGATTAATGGAGCTGGAAGGCTGGTATGATGCTCTGGTGGGTATATTTTGTGTTACTGTGTCCTATATCAAGTGTCCTCTAAGGAGAAATGTCTGCTTACTTTCTGTGCTTTCATATGGTGTAAGAGGAACATCACTTTTCACAGTTTAAAGGATTATCAGGAGTAGGGGATTGGCTCCGTGTGTTTCCTTTGAGTCCAGTTCCCCCTGCCCATCACCTTCCAGTTGTGAAATTTAACAGCTGCAAGCTGGTTGTTGTTATGGTCCAATCTGCACTACAGGAATCCTGAATTCATCATTCTGGTCTATAAGATACGAGAGTGCATTTGTATTTTCCCCAACAGTCTGATCATTCAGAGTGAAATTCCCAGGTGTCAAAAAAGGTTATTTATGTATGCTACTACTGCGCGGCACTGTGGGTTAAACCACAGAACCTAAGACTTGCCAATCAGAAGGTCGGCGGTTTGAATCCCCGTGACGGGGTGAGCTCCCGTTGCTCGGTCCCTGCTCCTGCCAACCTAGCAGTTTGAAAGCACGTCAAAGTACAAGTAGATAAATAAGTACCGCTCCAGCGGGAAGGTAAACGGCATTTCCATGCGCTGTTCTGGTTCACCAGAAGTGGCTTAGTCATGCTGACCACATGACCCGGAAGCTGCACGCCGGCTCCCTCGGCCAATAAAGTGAGATGAGTGCCTCAACCCCAGAGTTGGTCACAACTGGACCTAATGGTCAGGGGTCCCTTTACCTTTACTACTGCAGCCCGTATTTTGTTAACCCCAAAATGGAAAACGAGTGAGGTCCCAACCAAAGGAGAACGGCAACTTAAGATGACAGAATATTCTCAGCTTGCAGACTTAACATATACAATAAGAGAACAAGAAGAACATACGTTTAGGGAAAATTGGAAAATGTCTATTGAATATATGGGAAATAATACTGTGCAGCTGAAAATGTTGGCAGCATTAAGAGAAATTCAACAGTGTAAATAAATTTTGACGGATGCAATAATGGACTACTGAATGGTTCAGTTTTTGTAAAATATGCAGGGATTTATGATATGTAACATGAACCATGGAAAGAGAAGAAGGGAAGTCATTGATATTTTAAGGATGTTAAGATGAGTATTTTAAATTGTAAAACAGAAAATTTAATAAAAATGAGAGTGAGAGAGAGAGTGCGTGCATTTGTAGCTGTGTGCAAATGTTTACCTTTAAAGCATGGGTTTTCATTATAGTTTGTAGTTGTTAGTTTCACTAACAAAATGTTCAGGGGGAGAGACCCCAAATTTTCAAAGTCAAGCTCTACAGCTCAGGAGCATTAATTGGCATTAACTGGTGCACCCAACATCAATGCGAAAGTAGAGCACTGGCAAAGGTTGACACTTATGTTTCCAGGGATGGCTTTCGAAAGAACTTTTGATTATTATTATTGCTGCAAAGTCATTGACCTCTTTCTTTCTTTCTTTCTTTCTTTCTTTCTTTCTTTCTTTCTTTCTTTCTTTTCTTTTCTTTTCTTCTTTTTCTTTCTTTCTAGGCACATGACTCAACAAGAGACCAACAAAACCATCACAACATGCACAAATGCCATCCGACAGCTGTCTGAGGTCATCAGAGGTTCTTCAAGGGTAAGTGGCCTTTGAAATGGTTTCTGACAAAGTTGTGGAGGGTGACAGCACAATCCTATGGCTGCAAAACCCAGGAAAAATGGAAACTTCATAAAGGAGCTGGAAGGGGAAAGCAAAGGGGTTGTAGTCAAAAGAAATCTCTATTGATCCAGTGCATTTCAGATCCTTTGAATTTCTTATGCATAGGAAAGGAAGAGGCAGCACAACTAGATGCTAAATCTCTGTTTCTATGAACGTACCTAAAGGAGGACCAATAGGCTCTCTTGAACTATCCCATTACTTTTTGTTTTGAATCCTATGTATGCCTTACTCAGAAGTAAGTCCCGTTGAGTGGGATTTACTCACAAGTTAGTGTACACTAGACTGCAGACTCATCCATATTTTTTGAAACATCTTTTTATTTTTTAAAAAGGCAGGAGGCTTCTGTGATTTTTTCTTCTTCTAAGGTTCCTTGTTTTAAGTCATGCTCTCCTAATAATGAACATTTTTTAAGATTCCTGGTTTTATTTCTGTATCTGCGCACAATTTTTGCACAACAGCATTCATGTTAAAAAGTAACTAAATTTAAAAAACACTTGGGATTGTAGAGACTTAAGCAGCACAACCTGTACATTTAATTGCACCTAGAGAGCGAGAGCGGGAGAAAGCCTGTTGAGTTATAGCCAACTAAGTTCTACCTGAGTAGATCCATTGAAATGAATGGACCTGTAAGTCATATCCATCACTTTTAATGGATCTGCTCTGAATACCTTTAATATTGGATACAGGCCGTTGATTTAAACTTCAAGCAGTTCATTTGAAATGGAAGACAGAAGCATCAAACATTGAAAAATGACAGAAGTAACAGGAAATTGGGACATCCATGTTTAGCTCTCCTAGTTTTTTGCTTGTTTTTAATTCTAATAGGCAGCTGGATTGGGCCTGCATGGCATTTCCCAAATCCTTTCGAAGTTTCTGTTTTCCTCATTAGGCAATGTTTACAAGTGCACAGTTCTGCACTATGATATCTTAAGATGCCAAGGCAGTAACTGCTCAGCCCTAGTAAGACTATTTAGGGTTCAACTGCTACTATGCTGCACAAGTTTGGTAGATGTTTTATGGCACAATTACATCCAGGCCAGATCCATACACTAGATCATGCTTTACATTGTAAGTTGTGTGTGTGTGTGTGTGTGTGTGTAAGAAAAATAAATCAACAATGCTTAAAGCAGCCATTCCAGGTTTCTATTCCGGACATGTGTAACAATGTCTTCTGTGAGCAGACAGCCTTTGGAGGTCTTACAAAGATAAAAGCAATGGCTTTATCTATAGGGAAGAGAGCAAAACAATCAATGTCATCCTCCATTCCACCCCTGGAAAGGAGCCAGGTCCATGTGGCTCAGATCAGGGGACGCTTGTGGAAAAAATAATTAAAATATGGAGATGGGGTGTGTGTGGAAAGCATGAAATTTAGGGACTGAGATCATCAGCACCATCATCTTCATCTGTTTACGCACCTGCCACTTTCCTACAAAATTGTGCTCAAATGGCCCGCAGTGTATCAAATGAGCAATATATAACAATTCAGAACATATTAGAAACAATTATATTCATACATACAAAAAAAATCAATCTGTGCAACCTTTGTTAAGCTAACCTAATTTAACAGCACAAACTAAGCAACACGCTATAAAACAATACCAATCTACCAATATAATTAAAGAACGGAAACTAAGAAGAAGAGAACATGATCCCCATGCAAAAACGGAAGAATATCGTTCAAAATATCATTCTGCTCCAGACCATGCATCTGTATAAATATTTTGATTGCAAGACTCATTCTTGAGCAACCTCCCCCAACTCATAGCCCTTGTGTGTTCAGCTTATTTCTCACATTCGTCGTATTCCAGGGAAACTTCAGAATTCCTGAATGGATGCCTCTTTGGGGTGGAAAATCTAATTTCAATCTTGAGGGTGTTCTGGCTAGTCTGTGTATATATAGGACATGTCTCTCAAAACTGTGCAGTTGTAACCAGCAGACACCCTATCAAGATGGTGATAGAACCATCAAAAGAACACAGTTGTTCATCCTAGTAGGGCTAGAATTTAAAGAGTTAACAGGTCTTCCAGAGTCCTATTCATAAACTCTGGGTCTGGGAACCAATTGCAGGGAATATTTTTATGTCAGGATTCTTGTATCTCAACACTTGGATGAGTCGCTTCATTTCCCATATCAATGGCATCTGGATGAATGGAATTTTCCTGGACTGTGGTCAAAGTTTGGTGGCTGATAATGGAGTTACAGTAATATTAAACTGTGAATGGTTTGCTTCTACCTGGGTGTGGAAGTCTGTAATTAGTCTCTGTTGGTGGCTCATGTAGGCTTTATCTGCTAGCATGCACAGTGACTGAGCTCGGGTAATCACCATTATGAAATAGCATATTTAGTGTCCCCACAATGATTACCAGGGTGGAGCCAATCTATGATGGCAAGAATGTCCTGATGACCAGCGCTGCTGTCTCATAACTGCTCTGTTCCGATCTTAAAAATGGAAAGCGTAATGCTGGTGGTCAACAAAAGAAATATAAAGACTCTCTCAAGGTCGGAGAGAGGTCCCTGTTAGATAGAGGCTAATTTGTAGCAAGGAACGCGGGTGGCACTGTGGGTTAAACCACAGAACCTAGGACTTGCTGATCAGAAGGTTGGCGGTTCGAATCCCTGCGACGGGGTGAGCTCCTGTTGCTCGGTCCCAGCTCCTGCCAACCTAGCAGTTTGAAAGCACATCAAAGTGCAAGTAGATAAATAGGTACCACTCCGGAGGGAAGGTAAACGGCCTTTCCGTGAGCTGCTCTGGTTCGCCAGAAGCTGGCCAAATGACCCGGAAGCTGTACGCCGGTTCCCTCAGCCAATAAAGCAAGATGAGTGCCGCAACCCCAGAGTCGGTCACGACTGGACCTAATGGTCAGGGGTCCCTTTACCTTTACCTAATTTGTACCAAATTCAACACAACAATTAAAGTGTACAACATCTTTTGCAAATGCAGCACCATTGCAAATTCATAAGGGCATTTTTTCTTCTTCTCCAAATGGTGCAGCAGGCGATTGGATTATTAAGTTACCAAACGGAAGCTCGGGTGAAATAAAATGAAAGATTTCTTCTTGTGGTCTGTTATCAAGACGCAGGAAAATTGGCCGGAGACTTCCAGAGACGTTTTCTGTGGCGCAAATTGGGTCCAATGGGAAGTCAAATGAAGAGAGAGAGAATAGTTCCAGGTACTCTTATGTCATTACCATCAACATTGGCAGCACAGCAAAAAACAAACAAACAAACAAACAAACAAAAAACCCCAAAGTATAATTAGAGCAAGACCAGCTAGGAGAGAACGTATTTTTTTGTTGTTGTAAATAAATGAATTTTGAAAGTATGGTTTGCAGAAGATGGAAATGTTAATATTCCAGCATGAGGAAGAAGTGTGGTCCTCTGTCTTGGCATTCCATAATAGCTTATGGAGCCTCCTACTAAATTCGTATAACAGATCTACAATCATCCACTCTTCCCCTTTCACCTGCATCACCCTGCTGCTGCAATAATTAAACCTACAAATTGTGATGTGAAACCTACAATCTTTCTCCCTCACAACAAATGGCCCAAGTGGGTACCGGTTGCTGAGCCTCGATGTTCCTCTTGGGGAATTTCCGAATAGTGCTCCAAAGCTTCTCTCTCATATAGCTTCTGATATCATGAGACACCATCTGTTGATTTAGAGCTTTGCAGTCTATCCCTTCTGAATGCATTATGTTGTATACTGTTTGTTTCATGTGCTTAGAGAGAGAGAGAGTGCAATGATTCTTCCCCAGAAGGATTTGCAAAGCCATCTGAGGGATGCTATGATAGTGCAGATGTGGGAAATCTGTTTTCTTCTAATGCTGTTGGACTCCAGTGGCCACCACACCTGTCCAGGAACCATGTTGGCTGGAGCTTATAGGAGTTGGAGTCTAACAACATCCCTGGGCTTGAGCTTCAGGCTGTGTAGGATGCACCCAGATAGAGCTCTGCGAGTGCAGCTTTCTCCCAATTGAAGTGCAGAGTGTTTGAGGACTAGGACATTCACAGGGAAACCAAAATGCTTGTTTACAAAGCTATTGTACTACCAACCTTGCTGTATGCTTGTGAAACATGGACCACTTAAAAACGCCATGTCCAACTCCTCGAAAGATTTCATCAACGGTGTCTCCGAAAATGTTTTACACATCACTTGGGAAGACATGCAAACTAATATCAGTGTACTGGAAGAAGCAAAGTTCACCAGTGTTGAAGCAATGATTCTTTAACATCAACTTCATTGGACTGGTCATGTGGCAGATGCCTGAAGTTCGTCTTCCAAAGCAACTACTCTATTCTGAACTTAAAAATGGAAAGCGTAATGCTGGTGGTCAACAAAAGAGGTTTAAAGACTCTCTCCAGGCAAATCTAAAGAAATGTAGTATAAGCACCAACAACTGGGAAACACTGGCCTGTGAGCGCTCCAATTGGAAAACAGCCTTTGCCAAAGGTGTCATGGGCTTTGAAGACACTTGAACTCAGAACACAAGGGAGAAGAGGTGCTAAGAGGAAGGCACACTTGGCAAACCCTCACCGTGATCAACTCCCACCTGGAAACCTACTGTGGAAGGATGTGTGGATCCAGAGTTGGCCTCCACAGTCACTTACAGACTCACTGTTAAAGCCGTGTTCATGGAAGACATGGATATGAGGGATCGCCAAAGAAGAAGAAGAAGACCCAGATAGAACAGGTTGCACAACACAAGAGCTACCAAGCTGCAAGTTACTTACAGTTGTCATGATCCCTCTAGAGATGTGTTGGATGGGATGGAAAAGTGGAGGTCAAAGTGCTGGAGTCTTATGGCTCAAGAGAGGGTAAAAGCAGATGGGGAAAGGCTTCTTCAGGTCCCCAGGATGACCAGGAGTTAACCAAGAGAGAGACTGTAAGCCTGTGGTTCTCAGACTCCACCCCCCTGGG